GCAGGCCCTGCGGAAGGATGTCAGGTCCTGCAGGGCCCTAGTCTCTTGTGACAGAGCGTTCCACCAGATTGGAGCCGCGGCCGAGAAAGCCCTGGCTCTAGTTGAGGCCAGCCTAACCTCTCTGTGGCCTGGGATCTTTAGGATGTTTTTATTTGCAGACCATAAATTTCTCTGTGGGGCATACCAGGAGAGGCGGTCCCGTAGGTACGAGGGTCCTTGGCCGTATAGGGCTTTAAAGGTTAAAACCAGCACCTTAAACCTGATCCTGTACTCCACCGGGAGCCAATGCAGCTGGTATAGTACCGGATGGATATGATCTCGCAGCAAAGACCCCATAAGGAGTCTCGCCGCGGCATTCTGCACCCGCTGGAGTTTCTGGGTCAGTCTCAAGGGCAGCCCCACGTAGAGCGAGTTACAATAATCCAGTCTGGAGGTGACCGTCGCATGGATCACAGTGGCTAGGTCAGGGCGAGAGAGATAAGGAGCCAACTGCTTAGCTTGGCGGAGATGAAAAAATGCCGCCTTTGTTATAGCTGTAATCTGCGCCTCCATAGAGAGGGAGGTATCGAAGATTACACCCAAACTCTTAACGGACGATGCTGGCACTAATTGCACCCCCGCAAGAGATGGGAGTTGCCCCTCAATCCCATATCGCTCCGTCCCAGCCAGAGGACCTCTGTCTTCGACGGATTTAACTTCAACCGGCTCCCACGTAACCATCCAGCCACAGCTTCCAGACATCTGGTCAGTGTATCTGGGGCCGAGTCGGGATGGCCGTCCATCAACAGATAGAGCTGGGTGTCATGGGGTCTTAATAAAAGAACAAACTGTTCTTTTGCACTTTGCTGAGAAAAGGAAGAAGGTAGCACCCACCCCTCTGCCCTCATGAAATGGGAGTCAGACATTTGCAACAATTAGGTTTTGTCAAGGCTAAAACAAATAAATCAGCCAGAGCGTGCCAGAGTGCAGTTCCGGTACCTCTGAGGTGGGCAGCACAGGAAGTTCCCAGGTTGAGCTGGGCTCCAAAAACCCAGAAGTGGGGGGAGAAACCTGACCAGACTCAACAAAGCCTCACTGTGCCTCCAGTTCATGAGGAGACTTGTCCCCCCAGAGCCCGGAGAAGACATCTTCTACCCGCTCCAGAGAGCAGATGCCCTGATGCAGAAGGGTTTCCTTATGATACTCATTTCCCCAATCTTAAATTAAACCCATCGCATTTGCACACCAGTGTGTGGGTACATTTCTCCTAATATACCCATATTTGTATGCAATTTTGCCCCCAAACCTGCATTTTGCCATCAATTTTCATTGGTATAATACATTTTCACATTATACCCTTCTCTCTGTGGTTTGCGATCCTGCTCTCTCAAGGAAAGCCCTGAAATTTGATCAGATTTTCTAAAATTTCATTTTTAAAAGGTAATCTCAACTTTCGAGCTGCACCACAGGCCACTTCTGTAATTCCTGACAAAGTATCACCATAGAAACAGCATTTTGCAACGAGCAGAGACCTTTGAGCAGAGACCTTTCTCGGATGATTAAACTTAAAAAAAGAAATCAGGGTCCACAACAATGCAGTAGACAGATTTACTCCTCCTGCTGTTTTTGGGGATGACCTTGCATGTTCTCTCTTTGTCAATACCAAATCCCTTTATTAAGACCCCATGCTTTTTCTACACCAACTTGGATGTATTTAAAAGGTCAAATTTGTGGAGAATAAGGTTATCAATTCGTAGTAGCGGTGATGGCTTTGTTGTGCTTACACTGTTGGGGGCAGTTGAAGACCACTTGCCGGGAATGTAGCTAGCCAGTTTGAGAACTGGGTGCTGGACTCAATAAGCCTTTAGTCTGATCTTGTAAGGCTCTTATATTCAATGGTCAGGCAGATCTTCCTGCTCAGAGTCCTGTTTCAATTACCAAGGCTCTTATGTTCTTAGCAAGTGTTCAGCCAGGCGATGCTTTGAAGTTCACAAGCATGGCATGGCAAAAAGAGTGATAACCTGCATTCAAACTTTTTTTAAAAAATGCTTTGAGCGAATCAGTTGGGTATAATGTTTTGGACACTTGTTTTTGAGGAGTAGAGCTTGTGAGTCTCGTTGGCTGAGAGAATGTGAGTGCCTTAGAATGTTCACAAGCAGTCTGTCAATCGGAAGAATTGAACAGGCTGTGCGAAACTCAAAAAGTTTATTGTGGGTCAACTTACAGCTCTTGACACAGGCCCATCAGTTTAGTCTCTTTGGGGGGGTGACGGTATTTGATGGAACATGCATTCTTAACAAGCAACCTACTTCCCCTGCGGCGACAAGCCTTTTTCAGCTGAGCGTTTTCTCTCTTTTTTTGTAAAATCATGCTCTCTATCTGTGGATTTGAAATGGTTTTCGTATATGAAATCATTTCGATTCCTTTTATACATGAAATTGCACCATTGAAGCTTTTATCTTTAAATGACTTTGAGGTGTTTTGCTGGAAGCAATTGATAAGTGGAAAGAAAGAGGGTGGAGTATAATCAGGGCAGCTGCTTTCACATTGGTGAAAATGAAAAGCATCACACATACCCCGCGAAAAGATAAAAGGAAGGTGTACATTTGTGTTTGCTAATACAGCTAGGTATAAATCGGATCTGGAAACCAAGCCTTATGAGGAACAGCTGAGGGAGTTGGGTATGTTTAGCTTGGAAAAGAGGAACCCGAGTGAAGATTTTATAGCCATCTTCAAATTTCTAAAGGGCTAAAGTCACATATGTAGGACCTGAACGAATGGCTTCAAGTTATAAGAAATGAGTTTTTAACTAAACATCAGGAAGAACTTTCTGACAAGAAGAGCTGTTTGAACATGGAACAAAATCCCTAGGGAGGTGGTGGACTCTCCTTCCTTGAAGGTTTTTAAGCAGAGGTTGGATGGTCATATGTCAAGCATGCCTTAGTTGATATTCCTGAATTGCAAGGGATTGGATTAGATTACTCTTCCAACTCTACAATTCTATGATTGTATAAGCTTGAAGTATTTCCAGCTCAATGCACAAGAAGTGTCTCTCCTTCCCTTTGTGTCAAGTGTGATGGAAATTCAACAGGCCATTGTATCACTTATCAAAACCTCAGCTGCCTCCTGTACCTGACAGGAAGAGAAGACTCTACCAGACCAGGACAGATTCTATCATCACTTCAACACTACAATTCATACCTAGTGAATCCACACCTCCTGTCCATCACTTGTCTGTGAAAGGGTCTTCTCATTATGTGGGCTGGGGATCCTGAGGGAGGCAGCAAGGGAAATGGCAGACCTTTTTCAGCTTGTGAGACAAGTCAGCTTTAGAGGGAGGTAGACAAGAGTTCATCAGACCAGGGTGACTTAACTCCTCAGCAAAGCACAGGAGATGCCAGCATGGTGGCAACTGGATGAGGCTTCTGTGCTTTTCTCCAATGCATGTGCAGAATATTGAACCTTACATCACTCATATCCTGTGTCAGGAGCAGGGAACATTTTTCAGCCGGAGGGCCACATTCTCTCATGGGCAACATGCTGGCAGTGGGTGGAGAAAGAGGCAGAAGTAGGTGGATCAACACACACTGCTTCCTTTATAGTGATGGCCAAATTTGGCCCTCCAGCTGTTTTGGGACTACAGTTCCCATCATCTCTGACCACTGGTCCTGTTAGCTAGGTTTGATTGGAGTTGTAGTCCCAAAACAGCTGGAGGGCCAAGTTTGGCCATCACTGCTTTACAGGGAGGGCAGGTAACAAAGGCCAAAGGTTTCTCTCCATCCAGACAAGAGGCATAACCTCACTTTAAGGACACATTACAGCCAGGCAGAAGCACTTGAGGGAGCTGGCGAGTCTCAAGGGCCAGAGAGATGGACTTAAGAGAGCCACAATCAGCCCCCTTGGCCAGAGGTTCCCCCCACTTTTGTTCTACATTACTGTCCACAAGAGTAGTTTTACATCTCTAGTCAAGATGTGTACTGTTACCAAACATGGAGGCGACAACCAACATGGATCAGAAGATTTTATAAAAACCTCTATTCCCTCCTTTCATGAATTGGTTAGATAGTTTCAGAGGGTACCCATGATGTGTTCACGCACTGTATATCATACTTAACCAGTCTGATATAAATGCCCTCCAGACATTTTAGACTAGGGGACATCAGGCTAGTGTAGATTAGTAGTTCTTAAACATTCTTGTGACAGCAGCCACGAAATTAAAAGTCGCCTGCTTCTTGGGAGAAGGGCAATGACAGGCCTAGACAGCATCTTGAGAAGTAGAGACATCACCTTGCCAACAAAGGTCCGTATAGTTAAAGCCATGGTTCTCCCAGTAGTGATGTATGGAAGTGAGAGCTGGACCATAAAGAAGGCTGATCGCCGAAGAATTGATGCTTTTGAATTATGGTGCTGGAGGAGACTCTTGAGAGTCCCATGGACTGCAAGAAGATCAAATGCATCCATTCTTAAGGAAATCAGCCCTGAGTGCTCACTGGAAGGACAGATCGTGAAGCTGAGGCTCCAATATTTTGGCCACCTCATGAGAAGAGAAGACTCCCTGGAGAAGACACTGATGCTGGGAAAGATGGAGGGCACAAGGAGAAGGGGGCGACAGAGGACGAGATGGTTGGATAGTGTTTTCGAGGTTACCAGCATGAGTTTGACCAAACTGCAGGAGGTAGTGGAGGACAGAGGTGCCTGGCGTGCTCTGGTCCATGGGGTCACGAAGAGTCAGACACGACTAAACGACTAAACAACAAACATTCTTACCCACCCTCCAACCACTTGAAATTTGTTGAACAGACCACTCTGCCTCTTTTAGCAGTTGTAAGGCACTGTGCTAGTGGCTGTGATTTTTAATTGTTTTGATATAAATATGCCATGGACCACTTGAATGAAGCTTGCAGACCACAGTTTGGGAACCCCTGTTCTAAACAGATCTGAAAGAGATCGGTTTGCTCTGAGAGTAGGAGACAATCCAGCAACTGCTTCAACAACACGAGGGCACCACACATACACACCACTTTGCATTTAGGACAATAATTTATTTTTTTAACACCATCATATGCTATCACATTTTAAGATGCTGCACAGCTGCTCTCTCCCAAAGTGAGCTTGTCAAAGAGGTAATCTCCCGTGCCATTCTGGGGCACCCCCAGGCGCCTCAGGTTCGTGAGGTGGTCTCCAAGCAGCTTGATGGCCTTCACCTGCTCTTCCAGGTATTCCGTCTCCAGGAAGTCACACAGCTGAAAAGATCAGAGACAAGCTTTGGTCAACTACACAAGTATTCACTGCAAGGTTATAGAATAGTATAGATAATAATGGGAAACCTCTGGCCCTCCAGATGTTGTTGGACTTCAGAGACTTCAGATCCCACCAGCTAGCCTAGACAGCAGTCAGATTATGATAGCTGTAATCCAACAACATCTGGATTACCACAGATTCCCTACCCCTGGTTTAAGACAAGATTTCGTGAACCTGCCCTCAAACAAGAAGGACACAAGGGGGGATAAGGCATATGGCATTAACCTTCTCTAGGTGACAAGCTAAACCAACAGACACTCATGGTACCAAATCATGGAAAGGCTTTCTAGATTTAAATAATAATAATTTTATTGATAGTAGCAATGACTGTTACACCCCAAACAGGCTTGCTTGCCAAGAAAAGCAGCTGACAGATTTGTCCATCTCAAGTTGAGTCTTCCTGTTTTTAAATGCCATGGAGGCAAGAAAGAAACAAGAGGCATTGGTTTTATGGAAGGAAGGAAACCTTGCAGAAAGAACGGGTATCTTTTTTTTATAGCTTGCTCCTCTATCACAGCTAACTATGGTGCATTCAGCCCCCCAAGCCTCCTAAATATAAGGAAGGCTTCTGGACAATGTGGCATTATTGAAAACTCACATGAGGGTCTCCCTTCTCTGTTGCGAGCTTGTGCAGATCCAGCAAGGCCTGGTTCACCACCTTCTCCAGCTCCAGGGCAGACTGCAGGGCATCCACGCTGCTTCCCCACTCATCCTTCTCTGGCTTCTGTGCAAGAGTTGGATGCAAGGATGAGAGGTAAGGGATATTGCATCAGGGCCCAAGATACTCTTTTATGTTCAGCACAGCCCAAAGACCTCCCGCTTTTCACCTCACCTTGATGTCCTTCAGCAGGATGCGTCCTCCCCGTTTGTTCTGGTACTGCAGGAACTTCTCCGCATGCTTCCTCTCTTCCTGGGATTGCTCTTTCAGGAACTTGGCCATGTGATGCAGGGAAACATCATCACGGTCAAAGTGGTAGGACTGGAAGGAGACAAAGTTACTAGATTTCAGGGTGGATAAAAATTAACATATTTTTTAAAAACAAAAAAAAATCGATTTTTAAAAATTTAAATTGGATTTTTAAAATTTTAATTGGATTTTTAAAATAAAATTCTTCGGGAAGAAAAATCTAAAGACAGTTTTCTATTTAAGTTACATTATAGTCCAAAGGCTATTCATCAGGAAATAAGGATTTGTTTTAAATTTTTCATGTGTGCTAAAACTCAGTCTAAGTTTTTCTTTTAAATTGTTTAATCACATCAGTTAACAAACATGGATACATATGCTATAATGTTATTGTTTTAGTTAATTGTTTAAATTGTTAAGGAAATGATTATTTTTCTCCTAATAAAGTACAGCAGAAAAGTTGTCCAAATACAAACAGTTAACTTATTAAACCTCACAATAATTTCATAATTATCTATTGTATAACCAAATCAGTAATTTTTTATATAACTGTAAAAAACTACTCTGAAAACTCATCTGGTTGTAAATATTAAGATTATACCAGCAAGGATGAGTCTTTCTGTAAAAAAGAGAGAGGAATAAATCAAGTCTTATTGACTAGCGATTTAAATCAATTTGATTTAAATCAAATCCACCCTGCTAGATATATAACCTGATGGGCCTCCAGTGAGCTCAAGGTGACATATAGTTGCCTGGTTTCTTCAACAGAACTATGTTCTCTCAACTCAGGCTTCATAGAGAAACATCTAACACCTGCAAGATCCCATAGGCATTAATAGTGGGGGACATTTGAGGAACCTTGCAAGGCTAAGGAACCTATCTGCCAAGCCTTATCAGAAATAGATGTTACTGAACTCAGTGCATGTTAGCTGTGAAGAGTATGTGTAGGATCAGACCAAGGGTGAAATTACATGGGGGGGGGGGAGCCAGTGAAGTTTATTCTCCCCAACAAGCAAAGATAGCAAAGAAGAACTTACCATGGACAGGTAGACATAGCTAGCATAGAGCTCCAGGTTAATCATTCGGTTTATAGCAGCTTGGCAGTCAGTATGGTAGTTCTGGCACACCTGAGACACCATCTTCGAGTTACAGCAAGCACAATCAGCAACAACAAATATTAACACAAGCGTCTTGTAGAGCTGCTTGGATCCCAGGTGTTATATGTATACCATTTAGAGGCAGGCCAGCTAGTGATTAGCAGCAGTGCTGCCCAATAGAATTTCTCTTCCAGTTGGCTTTGTGGGTGGGTTAATGACTCAGCTGTTGGTTGGGGAGGGGGAGGGGGAGAGAGCCTGCAGCTGTGTTAAACAAAGGCTCTGCCTTATCTCATAGCCTTTTGGCCTGAAGGAGGCATTATGTGGCTCTCCTTTATTCAAAGGGGCCTAATCATGAAAAGAGCCCTGGTGGATCAGAAGAAAGACACATCTAAGCCAGCTTCCTGTTCACACAGTGGCCTATGTGCCAGAGCCAATGTGGTCTATGTGCCAGAGCCAGTGTGGTGTAGTGGTTAAGAGCGATAGACTCGTAATCTGGTAAACCGGGTTCGCGTCTCCGCTCTTCCACATGCAGCTGCTGGGTGACTTTGGGCTAGTCTCACTTCTCTGAAGTCTCTCAGCCCCACTCACCTCACAGAGTGTTTGTTTTGGGGGAGGAAGGGAAAGGAGAATGTTAGCCGTTTTGAGACTCCTTTGGGTAGTGATAAAGCGGGATATCAAATCCAAACTCTTCTTCTCTTCTATGGGAATGCAAGAACTGAGTGCAGCAATTTGTGGTCAACAGCAACTGGTATGCAGAAGAACAATGCCGCTGCTAGTAGAGATAGAACATAGCTATCATGCCTAGTGGGCAGTGAAAGCCTCCAGCTCCTTTTGGGCTACAGTTCCCACCATCCCCGACCACTGGTCTTGCTAGCTAGGGATGATGGGAGTTGTAGTCCAAAAACAGCTGGAGACCCAAGTTTGGGAAACACTGGATTAAGTTATCTTCCAGCCCCATCTGGAGATGCTGAGAACTGAAGCTGGGATCTTCTACCTGCAAAGCAGATGCTCTACCAATGAACTACAGCCTTCATAAGAACTGGGAATAGTATTGTCCAACCGATGCAGCCTAGTAGAGCCAGTCCACAACATTTTGGTGCCCAGTGTGAAGGATGATGCCCCACCCTCATCATCTGACTGTACATATAATGTTACCCATGCATAGCTGTCAACTTTTCCCTTTTCTTGCGAGGAATCCTATTCGGAATAAGGGGATTTCCCTTTAAAAAAGGGAAACGTTGACAGCTATGTACCCACGTGATTATCAACTGGGCAGTGTGATTTTTTAATTAATTGAGTACTAGGTCTATGCGGGAAGATTGTTCTCAGGATGCAGTGTAAATCCTCTTTCCCCAGCTATAATTTCTAATGACTTTGCACCCCTGCTTCCACGGAGTAATCAAGTAGGTGTTTCCATTGCTATCAATGGGAGGTAACCCCTCCAATGCTAATTACTGCAAGGGTGGGGCAGATTTCACAGAGATTGCACCTGGGGAAAGGAAAGCTCAAACCTCCCTTTTCACAGTACACTGATAATAATCCCACACACCTGGTATTTTTTTTATTTTTCTTAAACAGATGATTACTAATCACATTGTTAATGTCAGGTGGAATTAGGCCAGATCTTTGGGTGTTTTCTCCATGCCTTCCCCTCCCAATGTTGTATTTTTAAAGGCATAACTTTCATTGATTTTCCTACCTTATATCTACTGCTTTATATGACATACAGTAAAGGTAAAGGGACCCCTGACCATTAGGTCCAGTCATGACCGACTCTGGGGTTGTTGCGCTCATCTTGCTTTATTGGCTGAGGGAGCTGGCGTACAGCTTGCGGGTCATGTGGCCAGCATCACTAAGCTGCTTCTGGCGAACCAGAGCAGCACACGGAAATGTCATTTACCTTCCCGCTGGAATTTATCTACTTGCACTTTGTGCTTTTGAACGGCTAGGTTGGCAGGAACAGGGACCAAGAAACGGGAGTTCACCCCGTTGCGGGGATTCGAACCGCCGACCTTCTGATCGACAAGTCCTAGGCTCTGTGGTTTAACCCACAGCGCCACCCGCGTCCCTATGACATACAGTACTTTAATCTAATACAATCATCCTGTATTTCACTTATCATTGTTTTCATAACTTGAACCCTGCCCCCATTTTCATTTGATTATAACAGTTCTTCAACTATTCTTAAAAGTGTTTCCACTGGTGCATTTATTGCTTTGAGAGATACATGTACCCCTCGTTAGTAAGTCCACAAGGAGTTCTATGTGGAATGAGATCAACAGTGAAGTAAAGATGAAGTCAGCAGCAGAAGCAGTAAAATCCAGAACTCCAGCAGGCTAAGACTGAGATAAAACAGGAGTAGCCAATGTAGTGTTCACCAGGTGTTTCTGGACTCCAGCTCCCATCAGTCCCAACCACAAGCCATACTGTCTGGGGCTGATGGAAGTCAGAGGCCAACAAGATCTGGAGAGCACCACGTTGGCTACCTCTGAACAAGATGATCTGTTGAAAACCCTGGGCAAATACAGAAGACTGATATAGCAGTGCCAGTTTAGAACATGAGGTTCAACCCTAGACAAGCCCACACACCAGATACTGTTAGACTACAAACCCCATACACCCCAGCCAACATTGCCAGTGACCAGGGATGATGGGAGTTGTAGTCCGCCATTGCTTTTTGAAGGACCACAGTTTTCCCATCCATGTCTTACAGGCAAGCAGCAGCACTTTGAACTGTGCTTAAAAACTGACCAACAGCCAGTACAGTACTTAACAAATGGGTGAAGTAAGTTCTCTGTGGCCCCCAGAACAAAAACAAAACTTTGGTTTACCACTCATGTTTTCTTGGAAGAAACAAAAAATACATCAAATACTGGCTATGTGGCCACTGTCCTTTATCTCCCTCCCTGAGACAACCTTCTGTTTCCCTACAGCAGACACAACACGTCTGAGTTTATGCCCCCCCCAAAAAAATAATAATCATGTGGCAGCATATGAGGTATCAGCAAAGGGGTTCAGCTGCTCTTCTGCAATGTGAGTGTATCAAACAGGTATTCCCCTATTAACATTCTAGGGACTCTCAAAGGGGTCTTTCAGTTTAGTGAGATAATCTCTCAGGTCTGTGTTAGCCTTCACCTGTTCCTCCAGACATCCAGACTCCTGGAAGTCAAGCAGCTAAAGGTTTCTTAAAGGCAGATGCTGCTAAAATTGTGCATAGTACTGTAAGGATTAAGCAGGCTGCCGTGCATCCCCATCAAATAAAGGATTATAGAGAGGTGCAAGAAATCTGAGGTATATCTCTATTTCCTTTGGAGGGGAATATATGATCAACTGCTGGGCAGTTAGCTTGAACCACTGGGAAAAGCTAGCAGATGATTTATACCTGTCCAGATTTTAAATACCTTGCCGGTGTACAAAATTTAAGAGCACAGGATTTATTGCCACAAAACCTTGCCCATGGTTTTTGTACCTAGCTCAGATCTCATGCAAGACTTTACTATGTTCTTTGGCGATCATTCATAGCCGAGTATGATTGCCTTCCATGAACACGGTTTTAAAAGTGAGTCCGTAAGTGACTGTGGAGGCCAATTCTGGATCCACACGTCCTTCCACAGTGGGGACATAGGTTTCCAGGTGGGAGTTGATCATGGTGTGGATTTGCCAAGCGTGCCTTCCTCTTAACACCTTTCTCCCTTGCATCCTGAGTTCGAGTGTCTTCAAAGCCCACGACATCTTTGGTAGAGGCTGTTCTCCAGTTGCAGCGCTCGCAGGAAAGTGTTTCCCAATTGTTGGTGTTTATACTACCTTTTTCTAAAATTTGCATTGAGACAGTTGACTTCTACAAAGGAGGGTTCTTAATACTGAAGCATAACTGAACACATACACAAGTCTCCCCATCTCTAGTTTTTACGTTGGTTTTATGTTAATTTTTGTCTTGGTGCTGTCTTTGTATTGGTTGTTAGTTGAGAATTTGCGTTTTTGTGTTTTACTGATTTTAATTTGTGAACCACCTAGAGGATATGATGCATAAATGCCGCAAATAAATAAATAAATACTGAGCTTCAGTTCATTGGCTCGTATCCAGTCTACTACAGATGCCTAGTAACTGATGTTCCATGTTCACTGCCTTACCTGAATCAGATGTAAACAAGCAACAGAACTGGATGTCTTCAGCAAATTAGCCTTGGACTGGACTTAACCGTCCAGGGGTCCTTTACCTTTTATATCTCTATTTGTCTTCCAGTGTCTTTATAGTTCTATAGTTCCCTGGGTTTTTCAGGGCTGTTTCAAAAGTTGCCTGTAGAGCACTGAAGAGCTCTGGAGTTATTATTTATTTGTTAAAGCACAGCATCAGAGGGTTGTTTTTTTTTAAAAAAAGATGTTAAAAGCTTTTTTTTAAAAACCCACACACAAAACAAAACATTTGTTGTTCTGCTTTAACAAACCAAACAACCTCACAGCTATTCAGAAATCGGCAGGCAACATTTTGGATTGCCTCACAATGTAAAGCCTGTCAAAAGACACAAACAAACACTGGGAAAGAAAAGCTGTTGTGAAGCTGCCAAGTTTTTTTTTAAAAAAAAGTGCAACAAAGAACATGAGCCACTTGGTCTCCTCTTAATTATTTTAAAGTAAGAAAGAGACAAGCCCCAACTCTCCTCATAAGGGCTTATGGATGGAAGTACAGTGGTACCTTGGGTTACATACGATTCAGGTTACAGACTCCGTTACCCCAGAAATAATACCTCGGGTTAAGAACTTTGCTTCAGGGTGAGAACAGAAATTGTGCTCTGGTGGTGCGGCAGCAGTTTCAGGTTAAGAACAGACCTCCAGAACGAATATTTAAGTACTTAACCCGAGGTACCACTGTAGTGCTATTTCCATGATCTCATTTCTTTTGTCTTTCAAAAAGATCTTCAGACATTTTGATAACACACTTCTCAAAACTGATTCCAACGATCTGTAGGTATTTTTGAATGTGGAATGAGATTACTGAGTAACAGTGCATGCTTAATTCTGAGTAAACCCCACTGAGTTCAATGTGGAAGGCTCTTTCTGGGGGAAGGCTCACCCTCATTATACACCTTTAGGCACCAGGCAGAAACATTCCTCTTTAACCAGACCTTTGGCTGATTGACATTCATTGCCCTTTAAAAATGTGTTGAGGAGAGGCGTT